ACAATGAATGCAACACCATTCCTCTTCAATTTGTCATTCCTGGCATAGTCAACCATGTGGTTGTCAGATTCAAAATGGCCAATCCCAGTCCATTTCACTCACTAATGCCTAAGATATGGATGATTATGTGTTCCATTTCATTTTTGACAACTTCCAATTTTCCTAGATTCATACTTTGTACATTCTATGTTCTGATTATTAATGGATGTTTACAGCTGTTTCTCTTCATTTTGAGTTGTGCACCATCAGCAAATGAAGGTCCCACGGGGTTTACTCCATTTGTGTCATCACGGTCAACTCTACTTTGAGGAGGCAGCTTTCCCCAGTCGCATTTTGAGTGCCTTCCAACCTGAGAGGCTCATTTTCCGGCACTATATCTAACAGTGTTTCTCTGCTATTCATAAGGTTTTCAGTGACTAACAACAACATAGGATTTTCTAGACTATAATCTTGACTGGAGTAGACCGCCAGCTGTTTCTCCCAAGGTTCTAACCACCAATCCTTTGAGCAGCAGGTGAGCATTTAGCCAGTGTGCTACCAAGGCTCCTTAGGTTGTGTATTGTTAGCGACTCTACAACAGAATGAAGCACTGCCAGGGCCTGTGCCATGCTCACAATTGTGTTGTTATGTTGCTGTTGCCACTGTATTTTTCGATCTTCTCTGGGGTCTTCCTCTTTTTTGACGACCCTGCACTTTACCAAGTATGATTGCCTTTTCCAGGGGCTGAGCTTTCCTAACAAAATGTCAAAAGCATGAGAAACAAAGTCTCGTCATCCTGGCTTTAAAGGAGTATTCTGCCTATCCTCCTTCCAACACAGATTTGTTTGTTCCTGTGGCAGTCCGCAGTACTCTTATCTTCAATACTGTTATTCAGATGCATCAATTCTTCTACTATCTTCATTATTCATTATCCAACTTTCACATAGATATTAGGCAATTGAAAATACCATGTCTTGAGTCAAGTGCATCTTAGTCCTCAAAATGATCTCTTTGCCATTTTGTGCAGCAGATTTACCTAATGAAACATGTTGGTTGATTTCTTGACTGCTACTTCATGAGTGTTGATTGTGGATCCAAGCAAAACGAAGTCTTTGACAACTTCAATCTTTTTTTCATTTATCTAATGTCATTTATTGGTCCATTTGTGAAGATCTTCGTTTTCTTAAGTCCTCTTCATTTCCAGCAAGCAAGGTTGTATCATCTGCATATCACAGATTATTAATGAGTCTTCTTCTATTCCTGATGTTATGTACTTCTTCCTATAATCCAGTTTTTCAGCGTATTTGTTCAGCATACAGATTAAGTATCGTAAAAGGCTAGAACCCTGGCACACACCTTTCCTGATTGTAAAACATCCAGTATCCCTTTGTTCTATTCTAACAACTGCCTTTTGGTTTATGTACAGGTTGCTCATGAGCACAGTTAGGTGTTCTGGAATACTCATTCTTTGCAATGTTATCCATAGTTTGTCATGATCCACATAGTCAAAAGCCTTTGCATAGACAATAAAGCACAGGTAAACATCTTTCTGGTATTCTCTGCTTTCAGCCACGATCCATCTGATGTCAGCAATGATATCCCTAGTTCCCTGTCCTCTTCTGAATCTGACTTGAATTTCTGGCAGTTCCCTGGTGATGTACTACTGCAACCATCTTTTAATTATCGTAAGCAAAATTTTGCTTGCATATGGTATTAATGATACTGTTTGATGATTTCTGCATTCTGTTGAGTCATCTGTCTTGGGAATGGGCATAAGTATGAATCTTTTTCTATCAGTTGGCCACGTAGCTGTCTTCCAAATTTCTTGGCATTGATGAGTGAGTACCTCATCAGTTTGTTGACAGATTTCCATTTGTATTCTGTCAATTTCTTGAGCTTTGTTTTTTACTAATGCCATTTAGCTACTGGGACTTCTTTCGCTACCATCGGTCCTTGATCATATGCTGCCTCTTGAAATGATTGAACATAGACTATTTCTTTTTGGTACAGTGACTCTGTGTATTCCTTCCATCTCCTTCCATCTTTTTTTTTTTTAAGTTTTTATTGTGAATTATGTGATAGTTTACATGGGAGAACATTAGTTTTACATTCATCCTATCGTATATCATTTCATTGCCATGATTACAATCCCCCTCCATGCATCATCAATCAACCAAAGGTTACACCCCACAAGCCTGCCCCCAAGTCGTCAGCACACAGCCTCTCTCCCTCTCTGGGTCTAGAGTCCCCAGCCACTCCATCTCTCCACGTCATCATCTCTGCCTCCATCTCTGGCATCACTGCTTCTCTGGGTAGGGTCTCGCTCACCGCTCTTCTCCCTTGATGGTCCCAGGGACCTCTGCTCCTGGAGTGTAATGTCAACCACTCCCCTCCCGGAAAGAGTTACAGTCCTGCAGACTCTAAAGAGCAGTTCTCCTCTGCCCTATTGGGTCGTTATGAGTCGGAACCACTCAATGGCAGTACATTTAGTTCTTACTTAGTTTTGTGTACTCTATCCAAAGGACTCCCTTTAGCTTGGTCTAGTTTTTACATATTGTTTCAATTTTTGTTGATCTGAAAGTGACCTAATTTTGCTGTCACCTCTGATGGACAGTTATATGATTCCTGGTTGGTACTTTTTGTCTTTCAGAGTTTTATATATGTCACTCCATTGTCATCTTACCTGCATGGCTTTTACTAAAAAAATTAGAGCTCAGTCTTGATAGTTATCCTTTGCAGGTAACTTTTAGGTTTTTTTCTGAGCTACTCTCAGGATTCTTTCCTTGTCTTTGGTTTGGAGAGGTTTGATTATATTACATCTTGGTGATTTTCTTTTGGGCTATATTCTGTTTGGAGTTTAACTTCTTGAATGGCTATCTTCTCGTCGTTCATAATGTTAGGAAAGTTTTCTTCCCACAACACTTGGACAATATATTCTTGTTTTGTTACTATTATTATTATAGCAATTTTAAAAAAAGTGGTTTTTGACACATCTGAGTAGCTGGTCTATGAAAACTGTGGTTCAACAGGTTAGGCAACTTACCTAGGGTCATACAACAGAGCGGGGCTTTGAACCAGGGTCTCTGGCTCCAGACCTTTGTCCAGGACTCTGGATCCCTCAGATACCACCCTGGGGAACAAGGGCTTCAGAGGAGTGAGAGCTTGGACTGCTATGTCTGTCCTTGTCATTTTAGGACACAGGTCTGTATTACCACCGGTATCTTCAAGAGGTCATCAATGTGCTGGAGACGGACGGGCACTTCCGGGAGAAGCTGCAGGCTGCCAATGCCGAGGACATCAAGGTGCAGATGGTCGGGGGCGGAGGGGAGGAATGCATGCTTGGAAAGGTCCAGGTTCCCCAAAGGGGCCTGCCACGTGATTCCAGTCCTGCTTGTTTTATACATCTTGGAAGAGATTTGGGGAGAGGAAGTCACTTCTCAGATGGGAAAGGAATTTGGGAGCCCAGAATGTGGTTGAGCACAGAGCTGGACAGTCCAGTGTCGGCTCTGCTCCTACCAGCTATGTGACTTAGTGATGTCAATTTTTCATCTTTCCATGCCTCTGTTTCCCCTTCTGTAAATGGGGGTAGAAATTGTACCTGCCTGGTAGGATTGGGGCTAGGATTAAACTAGTTAAGGCAGGCCGCAGGAAGTGTTATGTGAGGGATACTTAAGGAAGCGTCTTAAACTTCTCAAATGTTGTCCCTTCTAGAGACAAGCGAGCGTCCTCATGCTTGTCACTGCCACTGCGCGTGTTAAGACCCCAAAAGAGCTGGGATGATCCCACTCTACAGAGGAGAATCCTGGCCCCCTCCAGTAGCCCCTGGGTCTCCTTCCAGGGCTGCACCTTCTTCCACTCCCTACCCAACAGGCAGAGCAAGGCAGGGCCTCCAGAGATGCAGCCAATGGTGAATCCGAGTCCCTGGAAAATAAGCATGGTATTTCTGAATCCTTGCCTGGAATTGCCACTCAAACCACCTCAGAGCTGAGAGATACCACTCCCTGCTGAGCCCTCCCTGCATTCCTTGGGTTGTCCACTAGTCTGGGTCCAGGCGGCCCTGCCCAGGAGTCCACTAGATGCCCCCTTTATCACCAGTCCTTATGTTTGCTCAGGCTCCATCCACCCTCTAACTGCACTGAGATCGCAGCTGTATAAACCCAATCCCAGTTTCTCTTGGGCTCCGCCCTCCTGCTCCTCCAGGCGCCGCCCATGTTCATGGGTCCGCCCCTGGGCCCTTCTCTCTGGCTCCTCCTTCCAGTTTGCCAGACGCAGACTTCTCTCCAGGGCTCCACCTAACCCAATGCCAGCTCCCCCAAGTCCAGTCCCTGGAGAAAACCTGATAGCCACGAGTCCAGCCGCTCCCATTTCTCACCTGGGAGCTGACGTGGCTTGCCAAGGTCCCACACCTGGCAAACGACTTTGGGAACCGTGGAAGGTTAAACAGGAAGCCTCTGTACTGGCTCGGAACTTGGTTCCAACACCGTGTCTTGGTTTCTGTATCATGAAAATGAGAAGCCCAGTATAAATTTATCTCTTGAGGGACCTTTGTGGGAATTGGCCGCTATCTATCCCCTCTCTTCAGGCACTCGGTGGTCGGTGGTGCATGCCTAAGCCAGCAGTCAATGCCAGTTCCTTTGTGTGGTCGAGCCGGAAGAGGGTGCAAGGATTTGAACCTAGACCCCAACCCCAGTCCACCCTGACTGGACACAACAGACCACCAGGGTCTTTAGCACCTGGCTGCGGGGCTGGGACCCTGGGGAGCCATAATTGGGCCAGGAGCATGGAAGAGGAATAGGATCTGGCAGGGGCAGTGGCAGCGTGGCCCTTCTTTGGCCCCCGGGCTGACCAGCGGCTCCTTTCTATCTGGACAGAGCGGAAAGCTAAGCCGGGAACTGGACTTCGTCAGCCACCACGTCCGCACCAAGCTGGATGAACTCAAGCGGCAGGAAGTGTCACGACTACGGATGCTCCTCAAGGCCAAGCTGGATGCTGAGCAGGGACCCAGTGAGCATGGCGGGCAGAGGGTGGTGGAAAGAGGTAGTCTTGGCTTCTGGGCTACTAGGTGGTTTTGTGGGAGACAAATAGGGCCTCCTGGGATCTCATTTTCCCCTCTTTTCAAGCGTGGGTGGAGGGCACTGATAGAGATGGTACCCTCTCTCAACTTCCACACAGAAGTCATATTTGGGCCACAAGCAGAGGCGATTTCTAGCCAGATACCTAGCCACAACCCAGCCCACCCACCCAGCTGTCAGGGGGGCTTGCATGTAGCTATGGTACTGGGCTGCTAACCAAAAGGTCTGCAGTTTGAACCCACCAGTCACTCTGCTGGAGAAAAATGTGGCTGTGTGCTCCCGGTAAAGACTTACAGCCTTAGAAAGCCTATAGAGCAGTTCTACTCAGTCCTGTGGGGTTGCTATCAGTCTAAATCAGCAGTGGGATATAATACTGAATTGGTTTCAATGGCGCTTCCAGATTAAGTTAGAGGAGGAAGAAAGGACTGGCAATCTACTTTAAAATCAGCCAGTGAAAACCCTGTGGGTCACAATGATCTGATCCATGAGTGCAGGACCAGACAGTATTTCATTCTGTTGTACGTGGGGGTCACCAGGATTTGGGGGGCCAACTTAAAAGGCAGCTAGAGATAACAGCAACCTATAATTGAGTTTGCTTCCCAGCATGACTTGCTACTAACATATGGTGTTTTTACTTATCTATTTTATGAGGAGTGCGGTGGCTCTGTACAATAAGCACTGGACTGCAAGCCAACAAGGTTCATGGTTCGAGCCTGCCAACCACTCAGTGGGAGAAATTTGAGGCTTTCTGCTCCCATGGAGATTTAAAGCCTTGAAAACCCTATACAGGGTCTCAATGAGTCCGAACCAACTTGGTATCACTTAACAACAACAACATTTATATTTCCCCCACTAGAAATGATTCTGATTTCTTACCATTTATCTCTGAGCCTATGTTCTATAGTCTGATTACTCAGGGGGGAAAAAGTTGTCCTGCCTTCTCTGCCCCAGACTTACCTGTCTGAGTGGCCTATGGCTGTCCTAACAAAATACTATAAACTAGCTAGTTAATAAGAGCAGAAATGTACCATCTCACCATTCCAGAGGCCAGAAGTCCAAAATCAAAATGTTACCAGTGCCATGTTCTCTGAGAAGGTTCTAGAAGATCCTTCCTTGTCACTTTGTAGCTTCTGGTGACAGACAGCAGATCTCAACATTCCTTGGTTTATTACTCCAACATGAGGGTGCTTCAAAACGTTCACAGGAAAATTCCATCCTCTCTTTATTCCATTTTCCACAAACTGCTCCCTCACATATAAACGACATTTTTGTAGCCTTCCTCTCTCTCAGTGTTTCCTCTATTCCTTTACAAGGACAGCACTCAGATGGGATTAGGGCCCACCGTACTCCAGTAAAGGAGCTCTGGAGGAGTACCCATTAAGCACTAGGCCCCAGTTCAAACCTACCAGCAGCTCTGTGGGAGAAAGATCTGGCAGTCTGCTCCCATAAAGATTTTTAAAAGCCTACTTCCATCGAGTCAATTGTGACTCAGAGTGATCCTGTAGGACAGAGTAGAACTGCCCCATAGCAACTCATAAGGAGCTCTGGTAGCGTAGTGGTTATGAATCAGGCTGCTAACCTTAAGGTCAGCAGTTCGAAACTACCAGCTGTTCCACCAGTGAAAGATGAGGCTTTCTGCTCCTGTAAAGATTTACAGCCTCGGAAACCCTGTATAGGGTCACTATGAGTGGGAACCAACTCCACGGCACATAACAATAACAACAACAACATAGCAACTCCTAGCCACCCTGCGCACAACAGAACGAAGCCCTGCCTGGTCCTGTGCCGTCCTCACCATGGTTCTGTTTGAGCCCATTGTTGCTGTCGCTGGGTCAGTCCATCTTGTTGGGGGTCTTACAGACTAGAGAACCCTCTGGGGCAGTCCTGCTCTGTCACCCACATGGGATCCCTCTGAGTCGTAAATCCACCAACAGCTACTCTAGTTTGATTATGTTAACACATAACAGCTTAAAGACGCATTTTCCAAACAAGTTCACAGTGACAGGTACTGTGGTTTAGGATTGCAAGTTATTTCACAGTTAATCCATAACCTTGGGGTTCAAGTCCACATTCCTTTCTGCTGACCTTGCCACTCCCACATCACCCCACCTTCTTCCTGCCTGTGTTCATCCTCGCCTGCTCCTCTCTCTTTTTTTTTCTAGTTTCTGGAGCGGATCATGAGTCTCCTACCTGCAGACCTTTGTCCCTGTGCTTTCTGAAGCCTCGACATTCTTGCTCAGAACTCTTTGCTTGACTGACTCCCTCCCCATTTTGATCTCTTCTTCCTGCATGGAGAAGCCTCCTTTGTCTGCTGTGGGGTTGTGTACACTGTCCTTTGGCTGCCTGTTCTCTGTATCACTGGATGGAGAGATGGGGAGGCGGGTCCATCACCAGGTGGTTCGCTATTCACAGGGTATTTACTATATATAGGGAGTCAAGGTGCAGCATTCACCTGAGCTGGAACGAACTAAGCAGTAGCTTAGTTACCCAGCACTGCTGTAACTGCAGTGTTGTCGAGAACATTGGAGAACAGCAATGTAATCTCATGGTGAGCAGGCTGAAGTAAAATTCAGGGCATGGTCTCTAGGGAAAGGCTTTCTGTCTCTGTCAGCTCTCAGGAAAGGTCCTTGTCAATTTCAGGCTCCTTAGAGACTGCCAGTTGCCATCTATCTCTCCCCCATTTGGACTTCCTTGTAAAGGAGTCTGAGTGGTACAGTGAGTTAAGCATTGGGCTGCTAACCCCAAGGTCAGCAGTTCAAACCCACTAACCATGCCTCGGGAGAACGATGTGGTCGGCTTCTAGCACGATGACAGCTTTGGAAATCCTTTGGGGCAGTTCTCTATCCAGTAGGGTCTCTTATGAGTTGGAATGGACTTGATGACAGGTTGGATTTCTGTGCCTGCTCTTTTATATCTCAAAAGTGATTCCTTTAAGGCACACCTGACACTGAACAGTGGCCTGGTTAATTAACATAACAAAGAACACCTTGATGTTCCCAATGCCTGCTGCTGCTAATGTTGTTAGTTCATGTCTAGTGACAACCCCACCTGTACAGAGTAGAGTTTTCAAAGCTGACCACCAGGACTGTCTTCCCAGGCACCTCTGTGAGTTCGAACTGGCAACCTTTAAGGTAGTTGTCTAGCACTTAACCACTTGCATTACCCAGGAGTCTTCACAGGTGTGTTGCTATGTACCTTCAAGGTGATTTTCGACTCATAATGACCTCATGTGTTACAGAGTAAAAGTGCCTTGTCGGGTTTCCTAGTGGTTATTAGGTGCCATCGAGTCGGTTCTGACTCATAGCAACCTGATGTACCTCAGAAGACAGCACTGCGCAGTCCTACGCCCTAGGTTTGAGCCTGGTGTTGCAGCCGCTTTGCCAGTCCATCTCAAAAAAGGGAGACTTCTGCTTTTTTGCTGACCCCCTACTTTACCAAGCATGATGTCCTTCACCAGGGACTGGTCCCTCCTGATCAGATGTCCAAACTACATGAGACCAAGTCTCACCATCTTTGCTTCTAAGCATTCCAGCTATACTTCTTGCTAGACAGATTTGTTCGTGTGTCTGGCAGCCAAGCCTATTCAGTATTCTTTGCCAACATGAAAATACCAGGTTTCCTTGGCTATAATATTTATGGTAGCAGATTGCCAAGGGTCTTCTCCTGTGAAACTGCTGGTGGTGAATTTGAACTGCTGATCTTTCAGTTAGCAGCCAATTGCTTAATGATTGCATAACCAGGACTCCTTTCTAATGCTCAGTTTGTTGTTGTTGTTGTTAAGTGCCATCCAGTGGTTCCAAACCCCTGTATGATATTGTTGTTAACTGCTGTCAAGCCAGTTCCCTCTCAGTCACCCTGTATAGGGTTTCTAAGAAGCAGCTGGTGAGATTGAACAGCCAACCTTCCAGTTCAAACCGACCTTGCAGTCCAGCACATTAACCCACAGTGCCACACCAGGACTCCACAACCTTGCATACATATTAGTTATTAGGGAGTCCCTGGGAGGTACAAATGATTAATGCACATCAATCAATCACTAACCAAAAGTTGGAAATTTGAGCCCACCTAGAGTCATCTTGGAAGAAAGACCTAGAAATCTACTTCCCCCAAATTTGCCAATGTAAACACAATTCTACTCCGAGACCCATGGGGCCGCCATTACTCAGATTTAATTAGACAGCAACAGGTTTTTATTATTACGGTTATTTTAAGTATTAGATTCAGTGAAGATCTCCCCTTCTCCAAGCAGCCCTCCCGGATTGCCTTCAGATGGGACTTTGGAAAGACAGATCATTCTGTGAGTTTGGTTTTGTTGATTTTTGCACTCTTTTCCCCTATCCAGATGTCCAGGTGGACCACATGAGCCTCCTGAAGCAGTTTGAACACCTAGACCCTCAGAACCAGCACACATTTGAGGCCCGAGACCTGGAGCTGCTGATCCAGACGGTAAGCTGAGGCCGAGGACTGAGGGAGGTTGGGGAAGTGGGGTGTCTGGATTTGTTGTTGTTGTTAAGTGCCGTCGAGTCAGTTCCACCCATACGACCCTAAACAGGGTTTCCGAGGCTGTAAATCTTTATGGGAGTAGAAAGCCTCATCTTTCTCCCATGGAGCAGCTGATAGTTTCAAACTGCAGACCTTGCAGTTCACAGCCCGATTCGTAACTACTGCGCTACCAGAGCTCCTGTTAGCTGGGTTGTATTTGGTTTCTGAAACTCCTCCCAGTTTCTCTTCAGGTGAAAGGGAGACGGGAGAAGGACCGGTGTCAGTTCCTCTGAGGTCTTGTTTCAGCCTTTTCTTTAGTTTATAGTTACCATGTGATTAGGGGAAGAGCCCATCTCCTCTGTGTCCATACAGCTGTCTGAATAATGCCCTCTCCCCAAAAAGTAGCCATGCCCTAATCCCATTGTGTTTGACATGTCGATTTCCTATTCAGGGAACCAGTAGGGCAGAGGAGAACTGCCCCATAAGGTTTCTTATGTGCTGAAGCACTTGGCTGCTAACTGAAAAATCAGCAGTTTAAGCTCCACGGGAGAAAAACTTGGCAATCTGCTTCCCTGAGATTTAAGTCCTCGGACACCCTATGGGGCAGTTCAACTCTGTGCTATAGGGGGCTCTATCCCTCAGAATGACTCAGTGGCAATGAGTTTGGACTTTGGGTTTTTGCTTCATTGTGGGTGCAGATCTCCAGGTGTGATGTGTTCATGCAATAACCATTCCGGTTAGCAGATGAACACTTGACCCTTTGCACCACCAGGGTGCCTTCCTCAATCCCCGGAGCCTGTGAATGTGTTGTTACGTTATGCAGCAAATGAGACTTCACAGGTAGATGAAGTTCAGAACCTTGAGATGGGACGATGCTTACAGGCGGCGAGGTTAGGATTTATAACACGGCAACACATTAGTTTAGGGGAGCACAATTCAATCCAGAACAGAAAAGGAAACAGGTTCTCCCGAGCCTCCCAAAGGAACCCCTAGATATCAGCCCCAATAGAACACAGTTTGGACTTCTGACCCCCAGACTCTGCAGTCACTTTCTCTTCTCTTGTTTTAAGCCAGGTAGTCTGTGTGAAGTACACAGTCAAACACTTGACTACTATCCACAAGGTTGGCAGTTTGAAGCCACCCAGAGGCAACTGGCTTTTTTCCCTTGTTGTATGTTGTCAAATCGGTTCCGACTCATAGCGACCCTGTATAGGGTTTCCAAGGAGCACCTGGTGGGTTTGAACTGCTGACCTTGACATTCACAGTCCTGTGCTTATCCCACAGCACCCCACCAGGCACCCAAGAATCCTCCCTGGCTTTCTTTCTGTCTCTCTTTCTCTTTTTTAAATTGTGAATTGGGTGCAGGTTTCCAGAGCCGATCAATTTTCCATTCAACAGTCATACACCATTTATTTCGTCTCACTGAATGCACTTCCAACAATGTAAACATCCCATAGCCTGCTTTCTTCTTGAGTCTCCTGGTCCTACTCTTCCTTCTTTCCTAACCCTTCTGCACTTTGTCTTCTGAACTTTGAGTCAGTACTGCCCTTTTGATCTCAAATGGTTGATGATTCTATGGAATGTGTTATTGTACCCCTGAAAACTGTCTATTGTTTGGCTGAAAATTGAACAATGCTGGCGAGTTCAATTCCAGGCCTGAAGCGTAACCAAAGGTCATAGTCTGGGGGTTTCACCAGTTTATCCAAGCAGTAAGCGGATAACTCATTTGTTTTTATTGCTGAATAACAGACGATTGTATGGAAAGACAAGTTTGTTTACCCATCCTCCTATGAAAGGATGTCTTGGTTGCTTCCAAGGGGATTGAATATGTCTCCTCAAATAAGTGTTGTGAATCCTAACCCCTATACCAGTGCACTGATCAAGCACTCGGCCTTGACAGAAAGGCCAACAATTAGAGTCCACCAGTAGCTCCATGGTAGAACAATGTGGCAGTCTGCATCTGTAAAGATTTCAGCCTTGGAAACCCCATGGGCCAGTGCTACTGTGGATAATCCCATTTGGCGGTGGGTTTTCCTTGTTCTGTTAGTAAGACCATACTAGTGTAGTGTGTGTCCTAAGTCAGTCTCCTATGAGATATAAACGAGCAGAGTAAGTAAGCCTGTCTGTCCAACATGGCTCCCACTGGGTGTGCAAGTTAACCTGTGGCAGAATGACAAGTTACTAGAATACAGAAATGTATTCTACCCTAGTTCTGAAGGCCCAAAATCAGTGTCTTTCAATGAAAAAGTGTGAGCGGGGCCACATTCGTACCAGGACCTCAGAGGAGGCTCCATCCTCACCTCTTCCAACTACAGCATTCTCTGGTTTGTGGCCACATCACTCTATTCTTCAAGGGCAGCATTTTCATGTGTCTAGCTGCTCCTTCTTCACATGCCTTCTTTTCTGTGTGTGTCTGACCTCCCTCTGCTTTTATCAGGATACGTGTGGTTGCATTTAGGGCCCTCCTGAAGCAATCAGGAGAATCTCCCATCTCGAGCTTAAACTTCATCACATCTACAAAGGCCCCATTTCTCTGTGAGATAACCTTGGCAGGTTTTGGAGGTCACGATATGAATGCCTTTTGGAGGATAACCCGGGTGATGCCAACAGTTAATGCACTCAATAGCTAACCTAAAGTTTAGAGGTTCAGGTCCACCCAGGGGTACTGATGTCTGACCACATCAAATCCTATCTTAGAAGGGCAGTACATTACATCATGGAAGGTCCTTACACTACATCATATACTATCACTCAGTCTCAGTCCTGTCTGTGATTTCATTGAGAATGACAGCCCAGCCAAGTTGACACGTTAACACTAACCATCACACATTCCATGACTCATGTTCCACTCTGAGAAAAGTCAAAAGTCATGTGTCTCACAAAGGCCTGAATTATCTGACTTCTTTCTTCCCTCACCCCCTCATCACTTCCCCTCCCTCACTCTACCCCAGCCACACTCACTTCCTGGTTATTTCCTGCCTCAGGACTTATTCACTGGCTGTTTCCCCTTTCTGGAACACCCACAGGGCTTGCTCCGTCACCTTTCAGCCTTTGCTCAAATACCACCCTGCTAGAGGCCTTCCTGACCACCCTTGGATGCATTTCAGCCATTTCTTCAACCTCCATGGTCAGTTCCGCTTTCCTGCTTTATCTTCTGACCATTTGGGGGCGCTGTGGTTCTGTAAGCAGCGCTCTGGCCCTGAGAACACCCCATAAGGCCAGAGCTTTGAACCCAACAGCTCCTCCCCAGAAGAAAGATGAGGCTTTCTGCTCCCGCAGAGATTTACAGCCTCAGAAACCCCATGCAGGGTCGCTGTGAGTCGGAAATAACATGACAGCAGTTACCAACAACAACATCATCTATCAGCCTATTCATTTGGCTTCTTTTTCTATTTTGAAACAGTATTTTCTTGTGTTTTTGGTGACGGTTTACATGGCAGTTTGAGTTCCCAGTAAATAATTTCTACACAAGTTGTTCAGGGACTTTGACTACGATCTTTACAATACGTGAATATTCTCATGATTTCTGTTCTGCGTGGTCTTTTGCGTTTTGCTACTTTATGTTCTTTTATTTCTGTGTTTCCCTCCCTCTCTCCCACTAGAATGTAAGCACCATCAAGATAGGGAGTCTTGCCTGTTTGTTCTCTGTTGTGTCCCTGACTTCTAGAACAGGATCAGTTACGTAGTATGTAGTAGGTGCTCATTAAATATTTATTAAATGAGTAAATGAATTAATCTCATCAAGGCCTTAAAACATCCCTATAAAGTTGATATGGACCCATCCTTTGGCCCATTTCCCACCATACCCAACTCTCCAGCCACCAGAAGACACAAAGTGGTTGAAAAACTCTTAACTACCAGCAGCCTTTGAGGGGAAAAAAAAAAAGCCTCTGTTAATGTACACAAGTGCCCCAAGGACTGCTGGGAATCATAGGCACAGCCCATTAAGTTATATATAGAAAACCCCTCCTTTCTCCTGTGCCATACATCCCACCTCTAGCCCTATCACTAGTAAGCATTCCTGTTTGTTAAGTGCTTATTCTGCGCCAACCTAGCACATGTTATGTCATCAACAACATCTCCTAGCAAATCGACTTGAGTTGTTTGTATTAAGGTCAAAACTGAGGCACAGAGAGGCCGAGTAACTGAGATCATACAGCTAGTGAGGGAGTAGAGCCTGGATTTGACCCCCTGGGCAAAATCGTGAGAGTTCATGTTCTAACTGCATAGCTATGTTGTTGTTGTTAAGTGCTGTCGAGTCAATTCTGACTTGTAGCAACCCGGCATAGGGTTTCCAAGGAGCAGCTGGTAGGTTTGAACCACTGACCTTTTGGTCTGCAGTCCAGTGCTTAGCCTACAGTGCTACACTAGGACTGAATCTTATATTAATTAAGTCCACCTTCTGTGTTGTTTTTTACTTTCTATTGCTCTAAGATACTGAGTTGAGGTACTGTGGGATAAAGCATTGGACTGCAAGGTTGGTTTGAACCACAGTGTTAGCAATTGAATCACACCAACCGCTCCTTGGAAACCCTGTATAGCATCACTATGAGTCAGAACTGGCTCACACTTAACAACAGCAAGATCTTGAGGATTTGAAAGAAATGGACTAAGATTTCCTGTTGCTAATTGTGTAACCATCAGAATGTTGTTGTTAGGTGCCATCGAGGCAGTAACACTCATACCGACCCGACCCTATGTACAATGGAACAAACACTGCCCAGTCCTGTGCCAACCTCACAGTCATTGATACATTTGTGCCCATCGCTGCTGCCACTGAGCTAGTCCATCTCATTGGGCGTCTTCTTCTTTCTCTCTGACCCTCCATTTTTCCAAACATGGTATCTTTCTGGTCCCTCCTGACAATATGTCTGAAGTATGAAAGATGAAGTCTGGCCATCCTGGCTTCTAGGGAGCATTCTGGCTGTACTTCCTCCAACACAGATTGGTTTGTTCTTTTGGCAGTCCATGGTACTTTCAATATTCTCCTCCAACACTATAGCTCAAATGCATCAATGCTTCTATGGTCTTCTTTATTCACTGTCCAGCTTTCACATGAATATGAGGCTATTGAAAATATCATGGCTTGGATCAGGTGAATCTTGGCTGAAAGCAGAGAATACCAGAAAGTTTATTCCTCAAATGGACATCTTTGCTGTTCGACACTTTAAAGAGGTTTTGTGCAGAAGATTTGCCCAATGCAATATGTCGTTTGATTTCTTGACTGCTACTTGCATGAGTGTTGATGGTTGATTCAATCAAAATGAAGTCTTTGACATCTTCAATCTTTTCTCCATTTGTTGTTGTTGTTGTTAAGCGCCATTGAGTCAGTTCTGATTCATAGGATTTCTGAGGAGCGGGTGGTGAGCTTGCATTTCAAACAGACCTTGCTGCTCATGACCTGCAGCACCACCCCAGGACTCCTTTCTACATTTATGTGGATGTTATTTATTGGCCCAGTGGTGAGGATTTTTGTTTTCTTACATTGAGGTACATACCAAAGGCTGTTGTCTTTGATCTTCATCAGTACATATTTTAAGTCCAACAAGATTGTATCATTTGCATACCACATGTTGCTAAAGAGTCTTCCTCCGATCCTGATACCATGTTCTTCTTCATATAATCCAACTTCTGGGATTATTTGTTCAGTATACAGATTGAATACGTTTGGTAAAAGAATACAATCCTGGTGCACACCCTTCCTAATTTTAAACCTTTCAGTGTTCCGTTGTTCTGTTTGAATAACTATCTCTTGGTCTATGTACAGGTTCTTCATGAGCACAATTAAGTATTCTGGAATACTCTGCAATGCTGTCTGTAACTTGTCATGATCCACATAATCAAAAGCCTTTGTAGAGTCAGGAAAGCACAGGTAAACATCTTTCTGGTATTTTCTGCTTTCAGCCAAGATCCATCCAACATCAGCAATGATATCGCTCGTTCCACATACTCTTCTGAATCTGGCTTGAACCTCTGCAAGTTCTCTGTCAATGTATGCTCATTTTATTTGCATGAGATATTAATGATTTTGTCAGATTATTTCCACATTCCGTTGGGTCACCTCTCTTTGAAATGGACACAAATATGGATCTTTTCCAATCAGTTGGCCAAATTTCTTAGCATGGATGAGTGAGTGCCCTCAGTGCCTCAATCAGTTTTTATTGAAAGATTTCTATTTGTATTCCATCAATTC